GAAAGACAAGAAGGACTTTTCGATCAAGCAAAGAATAAGGTAAACGCACCGGTAGTGGACACTGCACGAGTAGTGGACACTTTGAACTTCAAATATGATTAATAAGATTGTAGATGGCTTCACTGTTCAAACATACAAATCATTCAGTAAACAGAAGTTCTGTCTATTGAATGCTTTGTATATTTGAACAGTGAAGCCATCTACAACCTTATTACTTATATTTGAAGTTCAAAGTGTCCACTACTCGTGCAGTGTCCACTACCGGTGCGTTTACCTTACATTGTTTCAAAATTCACAATTTGAAGTCGATATGCTTCCTAAATGGAAAATATTGCGAAGCCCTTTAGATTGAAATAACCAGCGGAAGGAGTGGCAATAATATTGGAACGGATCTATTTAGATAATGAAGGAGATCAGAGACTCGAGATTCTAATCTTATAGTGATGCTTATTCCCACAAAATCGAAACAAAATCACATTTACTGCAAGATCAGTGCCGGCCCGAGGTAAGTTTTAGGATGGAGCGAGATCCTATTATGGCGCCCCCCCCTTGTTGCCCCTAATTTATACCAGTGATGCATGCAAGTAGGGCCGTGCCGTAGATTTCCTCAGTGTGATGCAAGTCTTCGAAATGCCGCCCCTTAAATGTTTTTCTCTAAAATACCTTCGGTTGTGATTTAAAAAAAAAAATGCACAAATTNTTTACATTTATTTTTGGCATATACACTATATGTGTATATGCTAAAAAAGTTTATGATATGAAGTTCGATATTCGTGGTTGAAAGTATCTGCAGGGAGACAGGGAGACTATCCCCGCTAATAAGGGAAGATACTGTATATACGAAATAGACTAACATTTTATAATTATACTTTGATAAACAATTGAAACTTTAAATCAAATAATAAATGTAAAATATGTAACTCATTATTAAAAGTAACTTAATAAAATTGATTAATTTATTTAAATTATCACGATAACAAAAATTTTAATAATTTACCAGTTTTTCCTTTTCTCTTTTATTAATAACATGTAAAATGAAATTCTTGTAATAGTTTAATGACTCTTCGAAAGATGTAATTTTTACAAATTTTGTTAAAGCCGGGAAAAGCACTAAATAAAAATAATAAATAAATATTACTTAAATCCATAATAATCATACATTATTTTAATAAATAATTATGATATTAAATGCAATAAATAAACTAATTATTAAATATCATCATGTCTGAAACTAATATGCATTTCACTTTGACATTAAAAATTAAAAAATTCTAACAAAAGTAAGTGGAATAGACATCTTATAATACAGGGTGTCCGAGAAAAATTATTATTATGACACAAATTCATAACCCTAAAGAAAAGCTGTCTATTGATATTCTCTGTCTTACCGCAAATCGCATAACTCACAAAGATTTTTACCTAAAATGTTTTTAAATGGTTCTAGCGGTTTGAAGACTTAAAAATGGTTGTAAAAGTACTATCTGTATTGTGGTTACCTAAAACTGTGAAGGAAAAAAGTATGGAAAGACGTCATCAAGTGTTTTTTCAATTTATTATTAGATGCAAAAATTGAAAGATAAGTGTTCAGCAATTAAAATTCAACTGCTTTACGTACTGACACTTATCTTTAAATTTCTGCATTCAAGAATAAATTGAAAGAATACTCGGTGATATCTTTTCGTAATTCCTGCGAGACTTTCTTAGCACAGTTACAGCGGTTTTGTTTCAGCTAACCATTATATAACTGCTTTACAACCATTTTTTATTTATTTCAAGCCGCTAGCATCGTTATAAACATTTGCGGTAAAAATCGTTTTGAATTATTCTTTCTTTTACCACAAACTTCATTTCATTATTTTTAGAAACACCCTGTATTTCTAAAAATAAGAATGTAACCAATGTGCTGAGTCTTGAATGCGTAACATTTCGCATTCGTAGAAAAGCAACAAACTTCACGTGATATGACATTTTACCATTTTTTTTATAATCACGAATCTCTTGGAAACATGTCGGAAATTTCAAATAAATGATGGCAGTTTTATCATATCTTTTAATTTTCTAATAGATGCCCTCCATATATTATGCTGTACTTAGTATATAAATTAATGAATATCAGCTTCATTCTTATTCTGAGAAAGACTGTAGTTATAAATACTGTACCAACCATAGTTACAACAGGAAAAGTTTCATTCAGTATTTCTCTGTTCACATACTTTTTGAGATAATTTATAAACGTTTAGAACTAATATTACAAGGAATAAGTTAATCACAGCTATAATTTAAATCCTTATATATACTGAAAAATGAGATCGGAGCAGAGGTCCGTGTAGTGTAATTTGCAACTCATCTGCACGGTTAATAGGTGTTGTGTGTTCGAGTTCCGCTCCGGGCCAATTCTTTTCTTTCAGTAGTTCTAAATTATTTAATTAAAATTATAATTATTAAACACATCTATAATGTCTATTTAGAAACGGTATATTGTCATAAATTTCCATACATAAAAACATTTTTTTTGATAAATTAGAGCAGTGTTTTTCAACCTTCTTGAATACGCAACCCCTTTACAAGTTAAACAATTCTGGCGACCCACCCAGGGCCATATTAGAACTATATTAGTGATTTTAAAAACTATGTATTTAATTTTCTTTCTGTTGAGATAAATTATTGTTGATTAAAATGAAAATTTCATAAGAATCGACAACAACTTAACACAGATAAAGTATGAAACTTCATTTAATTATAACATTGGGCACAGGGAGCCGTTGACCTTTTTTTTTAGATCAGAATTTTCAGCTTCTACTTTCTATTTCTTTTTGCAAATCAGCTCAACACTTTTTCGGTTATGATTTTCTGGCCCACGCCCCTCCCTGTCTACTCCCATGGTTGAGACCTAAATATCGATCAACAAACCAATTGTACTGTAAAATAAACAGGTAAGCCTTCTCGCTGAAATTGTAGTTTCTTTTAATGTAGTGTAGGACCTACAAACTCTTATCTTTTTCTTTTACCCGCGATCCCCCGTGTAAGGCTTCGGGACCCCCGTGGGGGTCGCGACCCACAAGTTGAAAACACTGAATTAGAGTATATGCTTTAAAAATACAATGTAGGCTATATTTAGTCTGAAGCTGTGGTCAGGGATGTCGAACCTTTAGCTTCCTTGCACTACATTTGAAGACAAAAAATTGTATCGGGCCTTACATAAACTGTAAAACTATATGTAAAGGTGACACGAATATATTTGCCGTTCTAGGCCGAAGAAACGATTATGTAGCCAAAAATGTATCCAAGTCAAATTTTTGTAGTTCAAAAAGTAGCCAATGCACTAAATGAGTTTTTGTGCGCCAAACTAAAGAAGGATAACCCATTTTGGCGCAAAGTAGCCAAATTTTTTCATTTGAGGTGCAGTACATGCTATGCGTAAATTTATGGTGGCAGCCATCTTAACTTCTGTCTTCAGTGCTTGTGGACCTCGCTGCATAGCGCTAAAGCGGCTAATTTAAACCGGAAATAACTCAACTGTCTTTTAAGAAAGCGGCTTTACTAGGAAACGTGCTAAATGTACAGTACATTTTTAGACTCTTTTTAAATGTTTACTAATGGCATGTTGTGACAATTTTTTAAATAAAAAGTATTACAATGTCCCGCAAATTTCAGAAGTTAAAAATTAGTACATAAAAATCTGAATGTTTTAAGGAACTTAGAACAAGACGAAACTTAGGTTATAAGTCTCAGCTGGTATTATTCTTTGGAAAATTTCCGCATACAATTTTAAGGAAGTTTAGGGTTTTGGGCCGCATTCATTACAGGGCTGGACCTCATTTGACTCTCGGGCTGCGGTGGACAGCACTAATTTAGACAATAAGGTTAGAAGAATCACTGAGAAATCATTAAAATCATAAAATGAAATCAAAAAGTAACATAAAAGATTGCAATAATGCAATATACTTAATACCATGCACCATGCCTGTCAAAATAAATTTTATTTTACAGGAGAAACTAAAAGGAAATTAGGTATTACAATTGAAGACCGACTTCGAATATCGTTGCAAGCGTCTATAACCTAAATAACCAAATTGAGATTTTTTAATAAATTGTGCACTGCAAAACGATACAGCTAATAGTATTATTACTATTAAAAACATCGGGCTGATTACCGTGAAAAAAATGCTTCTAACTTATCAACTGCATGGAAAAACGTTGCACGCGCATACAAAATGGCAGACAAGCAGACGTTCTCTCTTATCTTTTCGGAACTTCAAACAGGGACGGCCCGAGAAAAATCGGAGACGAATGCAAAGCTTTCGTGCGGGCCTTTTAATAATAAAAAAAGTTTTGCACAACAAACATTTTAAAGGTAAACATACCAGCCGTTAAGTAGGTTGCTAAAAATTAGTTAAATTAGCGAATAATGAAATGATCAATTTTTTAATTTCGCAACAGTTGGATCATGCAAGATTGTGTGGCCTTGTGAGGCTGTGCATGCAAAATTTAGGAATGAAAAAGCGATTCAACCCTCAAATTGAAATTATAAGAAATTGAAAATAAAGAAGGAGTCAATAAATTAATATTTGTCACAAGATGGACAAATTAAACTAGCTGTAAATCCCGAGTGAGGTGAGTGGAGACAAGTTGTATGCTCCGTGCTGTGAAATTCACAGCACGGAGCATGCAACAAAGGATGACATTTAGGATCTCAGTATTTCAAAATTTTCTCGGCAATGTGAGTTTATATTACGTCCTATGACTCTACTGTCATTAGAATAAGACGATTCCATAAGTTACCTCTCTGAAATGCATTTTCGTAACTACTGTTGAAGAGAAGTCAGGCACACAGGGATATGCTGAATAGCTTTAGTGGCCTTCAGAGGATTTAAAAATATCCATGTTTTGCTCAATTTGCTCATAACTTAATATAACTCATCTAACCTTTCTTTATGATAAAATTTTAACAAATGTGAATATTTTTATAAATTATTTCAATAATATATTATATTACTTACTTAAAATCATATCTGAAAATGTAACATCTTTGTTAGTTGCTTTTCGAGACATAACAACAAATTCACTATTTGGATCTTCTAAAGAACATAATTTCGTTCCAAATGCGGTTGAAGCTATTACATCGATAGTGAAACAACTCAAGTATCTGAAAACATTGAAGTTATTCAATTAATATTGTTGTAAATTCAAACATTAAATGAGCAAATTTTTTTCGAATGAAGAAATTTTATTTTTTTGCATCTGGCAACACTGCCTTGCGATTGTTGCAAACATTCCACCGATTGGGGCATTCCGGTAATGACCTTGACTATTCACAAAAACGTCGTATGGGCTATTCTATTTTATGAACATACCTTACTCTCTACTAGTAAATAATTATGGTTTATCCATTTTTTTAATAATGATTTTAATTTATATAAATTTCAATCTAATTTTTTTTGTGTCTGTCCTATAAGACGACCCCAGATTTTGGGGGCCTTTTTTTATAATTCAACTATCGTCTTATCTGCGGAAATACATGGCAATTGCTACAGTATTGCTTTTATTTAAACATTTATTTTATTTCATGTACATATTTATAAAACTAAAATTAATTGATTTCATCGGAAACTTGCCAAAGTTATCTTTTTCCTCCTAGTTTTCCAATATCTGGATTCAAAGATTGAGAACAAACAATGTTCTTTATGGCAGATAGATGCTTATCAGTTAATCTTGATCTGTAAGCCATTTTATTTAATTTTAGAAACATCACATCGGGTGCCACCTGTTTGACACCTCTGATTTATTTGCTCAAAAGGCCATATTTTTCTTTTTCGTTTAGGCCTGTTTAATAATTTTTATTATTACGTGTACGTTTACTCTTTTTAACTCGTAAAATTTAATTGATATTTCAATTTAAAAACGTGAATATAAGCTAATAAATATAATATAACGATGATTTTGAATTTTGTTATTTAAATATATTTGCAGAATTTTTAGGTTTTCACAGTGGATATTATTGAATCGAATACATGTGCTGAAATTTTATATTTTCTACACAGAATTTTATTGTGCTACTCTATATATTATTAGAAAACTTTAAATGTTTTGTTTTGATATCAGGTTTTTTTTAAAAATATATTTTAGATATAATATTTAATTTACTTTTTGCAATCGATGCTATTATTTTCATTTTCTTCAGCGATTTTCTTCAAATTTTCTGAGAATTTCTCCGCACATTCTTTAATCAAGTAAGACATCTGAAAACATTTAAACGTACTGTTAATAACTTAATTAGCTGGAAAGTATAAGAAACGTTTATTTCGATTTTATAATACATGTTCAATTAATGAATGAAAAAGTTTAATTATTAGGCTATAGTATATTTAATCCGCAAAGAATCGTTGGAATCGATTACACTTTGAGAGATTCTTTTACTTTTGAAAATCTTAAAAGTTATTTTCAGAATTTAAGTAAATAAATAACATTTTTAAATAAAAAGCTTTCTACGGTAGTTATTCAAATAAATTTACTTTTCTCATTTTTCCGCTGCTGAAGGTTGGGCTCACGATGCATCTGATTCTCTTCCAATCTTCATCTTGTACCATAAACAATGATTTGTCGAATAATGGGCTTCCTGTCTCCATTCTCTTCAAAATATTTTGTATTATATTTAATAATAATAATAAAGTAAACTAATAAGTCTTTTTGTAGTATAAATAAATAATATAATATATACATATTAAAATAATGTATGCAGTAGTATAGCCTCGATTATCTAAGATAATGTGCACTTCGAGAACGGACTGCCGAAGTTATTTCTTATTAAATATTGCGAATAAGATATAATATTTACATGGGGTATCACTTTTAACATTTTGATAAATTTAATTAAATTATAAGAACGACAAATTTTACATCATTTATTATGCATTTAATATGTATAATTGTTTCAAGAGTGTTGTTTCAAGTAATTGTTTTTGACGCTAGAAAATGAGAAAAAATTTAAATGAAAGAAGCGTAACACATGACTTTTTGTTAATTATAAATTAAAAAAGGTTAAATATCAGATATTTTTCATTGCCATTTACGTGCTTTTTCTAATTCTCAGTGATTCATATTCATANATTATTTCAAATTATTGTTCATTATTGGGCACCGAGCAAGCCGTTCACCTTTTTTTTAGTATTCAAAACTTTTATTTTAGCTTTAGGTGTTTACAAATCGACTCAACACTTTTTCGGCTGTGATTTCCTGGGGGGCACTAGGTTCCCTGGGAGGGGCCGTGCCCACCCAGGCTCCCCCTCGCTACGCCCATGCTTTTCGGTCACTCTCGTCGAACTGGAAAAATGTCTGTCTTTATTACATCTAATATTTCGAAGAAATCAGTCCAACTGTACTCGGCTAGAGATTGGTTCAGTTAGGCTTTTTCTAATATGGAGATTCTGGTTGGATCTGCAAGAACGCCGATTGGAGGGGGGATTTTTTTCCCTATTGTCGGGATGGTCTAAGGTCTACGCGTATGTGGGTGGCGGTTTTTAAAGGTAGCAAAGACAAGTGTTTTACAGAGGTAAACCGTTTATTCCGGACGATAATGCTTACATAAAGTATCTTGTTGGCAAGATCCTGTGTTGTTGGAAATTTTCGATGACAGTGCTGGTCTTGCGTCGTCGGGATTTTCGGCGGCGATCTAGTCGTGCGTCGTAGGGATTTTCTGGACAGTGTTGAGAGAAAAAAGTTCAAAGTCTCTAACGTCGGTGCACAAAAGAAGAACAGAGGTACAAAAATAAGCGGAGACGACACGAACACAACAGAAGTCTAGGTGGGAGTCTTGGTGGAAGTCTTGGTGGAAGTCCTGTTGTCCTTGAATTTTGCGTTTTTATAGGGTTTTTGCGATCGGCTTCTTACTAATTGGATAGATCTTACATCACTGTTTTCCAATTGGTCATCCACCTGTCTCCAGGTGTAAATAGAGCTTCGTAAAGCTCGCGAGAAAGGTCGGTTGGAGATGGTTTATCCGACACCATCTTTCTCGACTCTGATCTCATTTAATTGTTGACTATGACACCTACTCTTTTTGATATTTTTTTTTCTAGTTTCGTTTTGCTTTCTAAACTACGTCATAACTTTAATATTTTAAATTTTCTTCTTTTATATCTAAAAGTTTGTTTTTCCCGTTATGCTTTATGAGCGCTGATGTCAAAGTCGGGTATCGCCGATTCGATACTTATATAATTTGCTTTCTTGACGATTTAACTTAACAAACTGTTTTTTTTTTTCTTATATCTTTCCCTTTTGCGGGGGCTATTTCCGGGGCCTCACAGATCGTGCCGGCGCTTCGAAGTGGACTCGCCAACTAAAACAGCGGTGCCTGCGGTGCCAACAGAGTTGTCACCGCAGGTGGCACCCCTGCTTGCGGTAGACGGGGTTGGAACCCCGCCCACGCGCGTCTCAACAGATAAGGCCATTCATATACTGGCCACACGCTTGCAATTAAAATATCGAAAAGTGAAAAAAATATTTTTTTCTTTAATTTTCTTTACCACTGAGGCGCCCCCTAGGACTTAGCGCCTGGAGCGGCTGCTCAGTTCGCCTTATGGTAGGGCCGGCTCTGTGGAAGATAATAGGCATAATAACATAACAACATAAAGAACCATCCTTTTATAAAGAAAATTACAAAAATTTGATGATTCAGATCAGTTCTGTGGATGGAGACACGTTTCACAGTAACATCGAGAGAAGAACGGGATTTACTGAGATCTAAACCCTTTGCGTTTAATGCATATGTTGGAGCTAGTGAAAAGCAGTAGTAATTGAGATGGATCCGAATGATTTTTTCAATTATCAAATGGTGACAGAATGGCATATTCAAAACAAGACAAAACTGAAACATTTACTTAGAAATAAAAGTTTTATAATTGAGAACTATTTTATATTTTTAAGAAAATTATAAAACATCGTATAAAGTCCAATGATGCCTAGCCTTATATCTAGGACACAAATAAATTGTTTTAAAATTAATTTTCAGCTGACATTTCAGCTAAAATTTCAACGTATAAACGAATATCGGTCCTCTTAATTCAAGGATAGTTTTTAATTATTTGAAATAAAAAGTATCCGTCTGATTTTTGTTTTAGCTTTATCGAAACCTTCATTTTGTAAATCACGAAACCTGTGTTCATGAGAATGCTTTCCTTTAAGTCCACCTTATTGAAATTATCTGAGCTGATTCTTATTCTAAGGCACTTAGAAACAGTATACATAGCGACATATACAGTATAACATAAACAGTATAGGGGAGATCGGGGCAAGATCGGCATGTTAAGCTTTACTTAAATTTTGTGTAATAAATACTGCTGTAAACTGAAAAAAAAGCTTTGCATATTGTCTATTGGAATGTTACCTTACTATAGAACTGGTTAAAATCAGTTTGGAAATAAAAATAATTAAAATAATTACAACTTTACAAGAAGAGAGAAATTGACGAAGTTGCCCCGGGTATAGGGGCAAGATCGGCAACTTCTCTCTTTTTGTAAAGTTGTAATTATTTTAATTATTTTTATTAAAGTTGCCCCTGGTATAGGGGCAACAGTAATGGGGCAAGATAGGCACGTATATAAAATTATGTTATTAACAATGTATAAGTTGGAATTCACTATTAAAACAAAGAAATACAAATCCAACACCCATTTAATATTATTACAACGAAATGCAAGTTCAAAGACATATATACATGAATAACAAATGCAAACATGTTTTCATTTATCATCTGTTTGATTTTTATCCTTTGCTTCTAATGTGGCTTTATGTTGCCGATCTTACCCCGCTAGTCATGATTTCGAAACATTAAGTACAACCCTGAGAACAGAATGCCAAGCCACGATCTGGCCACGTGAATAAGTTGAAGTTACATCCTTCTAACAGGAAAAGTAACTTTCGTTATCATGGAATTATAACAAAACCTGCCAATTCAATATAAATGGAAAAAAAATATTATATGGAATTGAACGAAAATGAAAATTTGCTTGATAATTCAACTACGCTTGTTGGAGAACAATAAAAACACTACACTCAACAAGCCACCAATAAAACTCAACTGCCTAACCTATAACCAAAGTCTCCTTTTAATTTGTTTTTTAAAAAAAGCGCTTGACAAACTTGCCCCGCATGCCGAAGTTGCCCCGATCTCCCCTACATAGCGACATACCTATACATAGCGACTGATAGATGTTTCGTGCCAGCCAACGTTTGGGAAAGATGCACATGGAAAGTTCAGGCAGTGTACTGTACAGTATGCAATTTGCTCCAATAGAAACAACTTAAAACTTTTTAGCAATATGTTTTACCTTCATGCAATGAACAGAAATGTTTTTATTATGACTTGTGCTATACTTAAAATTATGTATTCTAAAACTTTGCAAAATGGTTCGGAAATACAAATAGAAAACCAACAGAGAAAGTTGGAACAAAGTATTGCTGCGAAATGCAGTGAATGGAGAAAGAAAGAGAAATGACTAATGTAGAAGTTAGCAAACAGTATAGGCACTTCAACGAACACTTCAGAGAGAAATCAAATCCGAGAATTTTAAGATTTCTATGGAAAGACAACCTATTCTGAATGAAAGGAATCCTCTTGGATTAGTGAAAAAAGTTTTGCAAACATTTGAAAGATCTTGAAAACCATAAATTTCCTGTAACTGTGACCGCTCTTCGGAAATTTCCTTTCAATTTTCCGAAAATATTTAGAATAAAGCATTCATTTAAAACCAGAAACTTGCTGCTTAATTTAAGTACTGGGAAGAAGCATGTAATGCAAGGTTACAAAATATTCTATTTACATACATATATTTGTTTTATTTCATAAAAAATTGTGCATGGTACAATACAGATAGGGTTAGAGTAGCTGTACTGTACATGCAAGCTTTTTGTTTATATGTTTATACAATATAAAGCTACACGAGAGAATCGTAACTATGCTCATCTTCCCCAAACTTTTCTATGAAAATATAAAAGGTTGTTTTAGTTTTGGAGAGATTAGTTTGAAATATTTATTAACTGATTTTAAAAAACCGTGCATTTGCTTCTTTAGGTCACTGAATATAAATTTGATACAAGTAGAGGAATAATATATTTTATAAATATATTTGTAATATCGAATACCTTCTTAAATATCTTAGACGTTTCCAATGCAAAACTGCAAATTCCATTAATTGCACATTCAATTCCTTGTCGTTTCCAAAACTGAAATCTTCTTCTCAAGTAACTAAGAATGTTTAATATAAAGAATAAGCTTACAATTTCGAAAAATTATATGAAGATTCTTAAGATAAAATAAAATAAAATAATTTATTAGACCGAATTACATTTGAATAATTCATTCAATTTAAATATTCTTTAATTGTTATGTATTATTTAAATAAAATTTAATATTAATACATATATTTCCTAAGAAAATTCTTCCTTAATGATATAAATTGAAATAAATAACTGCAAAATGAAAATTTCTTAAATTGAAATTATAACGACAGGAATAAAATACAGATATATCCCAGGTTTTACGATCATCTCATGATAAAACAAACCGCAGATATGACCATCACATATTTCTATCCCTACCTGATCCAATTTAGCTATCCCCACTTATAGGACG